TCGATACGAATATTGACTGTGAGTTGTATCATTAAAACCGTCAAAAGACAGCGCATTCTCACCTTAAAAAAAAAAAATATCCAAGAATAATAACTGCAAGATATATTATAAGCAGCTTTAAAAATACAATAAAAATTTACCATCGACCTCCTTCCTGAACCACCTTTTTGAAGCCCATAGACAAAAACTTTGCACGTATTTGTTTAATAAAATAAAGATATCAAACTATTTTTTAAAATTTTGTCTGTCGTTCGTGGGAAAAAGGGAATCGCGAGTGCGTAATATCTAAATATGGCAAAATCATGTGATCATATAATTACGAAACTATTATTTCCGACGATTATATATAAATCACATGACAGAATTCTCTAATCACAAAATCGTCACGGGATGTGATTTATTGAGGAGAAGTTATATAAAAATGATAAAAGGTTAAAAAAATTTTGATAATCAACAAAACGAACATTTAATAAAATGGCAAGTATATTATTAAACATTATTTTCCGTTGAAATTTTTTATTAAATTGTTTTTTCAATAATAATAAAGGAATCAAATTCACAAGCATTCATTGAGCCAGGAGAAGTTTTGGAGGAGCATATAATTGACGAACAAATTATCGACGAACAAATTATTGATGAACAAATTATTGACGAACAAATTATCGACGAACAAATAATCGAAGAACAAATAATCGAAGAACCAATTATTGAAGAAGCTAGAAGTCCTATGGAAGAAGGTATAGTATATATTCGGAATACAATGTTCATTTTTTTTTTTTTTCGAATTCGATGTTTTTTCAATTCGACATTGATATTCGATTTGTAAAAACAAATGATTTTTTTTTTTTTAAATATTATAATAAAAATTTTTTAATTGAAGACAGTGACGAAATGGTTGAATTTAAAGATGACTCCGTACAAGGATTTTTTAATCATAAAGGTATAAAATACATGTTACATCATTTCCTTTTTCCCCAAATATGTTTAATATACTAAAAGGTAGTGAATTTTTATAAAGATTCTGTTTATGCTATTGATATAAATCCTATTAATGAAGATATAATTATATCTGGTGGTGGAGATGATAAAAGTTTCTTATGGAGATGTGATACAGGAGAACAATTATTTGAATTATCAGGTTAATAGTTTTTTTTTTTTTTTAGAGAAAGATCTCTTAATTAGTTTACTTATTTCTCTCAATATTTTAAAATATAAAAAAATCTAGGTCATACTGATTCAGTAACAAATACATTATTTAGTAAAGATGGTCAATATATAGCAAGCGGTGGTATGGATGGTAAAGTTAAAGTATGGAAAGTTGAAAATGGACAATTAATTTTATCATTAGAAGGTTCTGATGAAATTACTGTAAGTAACAGAATTTTTTATCTTAACGAATATAATTTTTTTTTATTTTATTAAAAATGAGATGTATTTTATTTTACATAGTGGTTAGATTGGCATCCAAAAGGAAATATTTTATTAGCAGGAGCAAATGATGGTACAATATGGATGTGGCAGAGTAAGTTTTATTTTGGTTTTCGTTTAACATAGTATTTCTGTCTAATTTTTTTTAAAAAATTTAGTACCCTCCGGAAATTGTATGAATGTATTTGCAGGTCATTCATCAATAGTTACAACAGGACAATTTACACCTGATGGTAAAAAAATTGTATCAGGTTCAGAAGACACTTCATTAATAGTATGGGATCCAAAAACTGCCATTTCAACTCTTAAAATATCTGGTAATTTATTTATTAATCATATACTTCTAATATTCTTTTTTTTTTTAAAAAAAAAAAGAAAGAAAAAAATTCTAATAAATGTTGTAGTCGTAATATTAAACTCAAATACAAAATATATTGTACTTGGTTTTTACAAAATATCTATATAATTCAGGTGAAGATGCAAGATTTCATAGAGAGGGTATAACGTGTTTAGCTGTTAATCAAGAAAGTACTTTAGTGTTATCTGGATCTACCGATACTACTGCCAAACTTGTTAATTTGACAAATGGGAGTGTAAGTTTTTCATATCTTTCGTAATTTTTTTTTTTTTAAAAAAAAATTTTATTCAACGCGACTTATAAAAGTAAATGACTCAAAAAATAAAAAAAAATAAAGACATGACTAAGATGTTGCCATAATGTTTATTCTAATAGATTATTGGATCATTCGAAGATCATACAGAATCTGTTGAGACCGTTGGATTCTCAGATATGTAAGTTTGATTTTTTTATTTTAAAAAAAAAGAGGAAAAAAATTTATTTATTTATTTATTATTATTTTAGTTTACCATTAGTAGCAACGGGTTCTATAGATGGTAAATTAAATGTTTGGGATGTTAAAACAATGCGCTTACGTCAAACATGTAATCACGATGTAAGTAACTTACTTTTGCGCATATTGAAGTTTTCTTTTGTACATGCAGAGTTAAACTAATGACATACATTTTTAGGATGCTATAATTAAATTACAATGGCATAAGGATTCTCCTCTGTTAACTACTTGTTCTGCTGATAGAACCGTACGTGTATGGGATGGTAGAACTGGTAAATGCGAAACAACTTTTCATGGTCATCAAGATGCTATTCTTGGATTTGCTATGTCAAGGTATGTTGTAATTTATATTCATGTTAATGACTTAAGTTTTTACTAATTTAATATTATTTATTTTTGAATAGGGATGGTAAAAGAATTGTTACTGCTAGTGATGATCATGTTTGTCTTGTATTCAAATATTAATAATATATTACATTTATTAAATTAAATTAAAATTAATTCAAGTCATTCTAAAAACATATTTTTCATTCTCCAAACAAATCTAAGGTAATAACGACAAAATTTGCTCAGTTAATAATGAAAAGATGCAATAAACAAAAAAAAAACAAAAGAAAAAAGAAAAAAGTTCAATTTTATTAAAAAGAATCTAAATAATTAATAAATGCTAATTTATGTATAATGAATTATCAACAAATATATTATAACATGAACATGAATATTAACAAGGAAAAAAGAAAAAAAAAAGTTATTTGGGAATTTGGAAATAAAAGTCGACAATGTAAACAAAAAGGAAGAGAATGGCAAGTCATAATAATAAAAAGAAGTCCCTAAGGTATTTTATCTGTTTTCAATAATATGGTCGACGAGGATTGTTCTAGGAAGGGCAAACCGTTAGTAGTGCACAAAACGTATGCAAATATAATACTATATATCTATATATATATAAAAAAAACGTAAAACGCGAATGTCTCAAAATTAAATCAAACGTTCTTTCAAATATACCAAATCGAATTCGAAAGGAAACGCGAAAATCGTACCATTTCGTATTTATATTATCTCATTGAAAAGAAGTAAAATTTTTTCACATACCAGAGGATTTGGTCTAAATCTGTATGCTAACATCATTCGCTTGCGATAAATTTCAAATTCATCATCCTCTTCATCTACCCCTTCAGGCTTCGTTTGTCCTAATCCAGCATTTGCTGGTCGTGAATCAGCTCTAAAACAAATGTAAGTTTGTTATGTGTAAATTCGAATGATTTTAAATGAGATTATACGTTCATACTTATTTATAGGAGCAGCAATACCCTCCCCAGATTTTCCTAAACCGGATCCCGCCTGCCAGCCTTGTTTCATCAACATTTTAAATCCAATGTTTGACTGATCCAATTTGTTACTAGCATAGTCTTCATATGTTGGAGTTGTTCCACCAGTTTTGATTGCTTTAACTTTTTGTTCAAATTTCTCCAATTCCTCCTTGGGCAAAAAGTCAGCGATATGGTGTGCACGTTTAGCTTCAGCATGAGAAGTTAACAAAGCCGCTTGTTCTTTTTTTGCGAATTTATTAATAATTTGCTTTAAAATGTTTAGATAATCAACTTAATTCTTCCCTCAATTGATATCTTAATCTTACCCGCTGTCTTTTTCATTTCTTCTGCTCTTTTTTTATGCTCCCAAGTACCACCATCTGTAATTTCATCTTCTGGGTAAACCCACTTGGATCCGATACGAACCATACCAGATTTGTACGTATCCGAATATTTAACAAATTTCCTTTTATCTGAAAAGGTATAACTTTGCTGTGGAGGTGCAGAATTCACTGAAGTTGCTGCTGTTGTGGAACTGGTGGTACTGGTACTGGTATTAGTGCTGGATCTCACTAGAGAATAAGGAGAGGTAGAGGAAGAGGAGGAAGTATAACCAGCACCTCCAGCATTTGCACTTTGAATTGATTTTAAATCAATTGAGAGTGCGGGTGTTTCTTGTACCGTCGTAATGCCTGCCTGATCCCAGCGACTTCTCTTTCGCTTTTTTTTATTTTCCCCTGTACTTCCAACATTATTGTTAGTATTAGTCGCTTCCAAAGTATTAGTTTCAGTTGGTTCAGTTTTTATTGTAACAATCTGTTCAATACTAGTACTAGACTTTTGCTCTTGTAGATTTTCCGCATCGTCGTCTCCTAATTTTACATGTTCTGGTGGTTTTGATATGGCAAAACTAATTTTGGGAGGATTGTTAACTCCGACTGAACCAACTGATCCATTTACTTTAGGTTCAAGGTCGGCTGTTAGCTCAGGTCCTGATTCTGACTCAAGCCTTTCAGATAATGTAAAAGTACATTCATTATTACTATTACTTAATGTACTCATCTTGTCCATTCTCAAAAAGGTCTCGTTCGAATTAAAAAATGAATCTTTAAATGTCAGGTAAAGTTCTGACATCACCGCCGATTGTATCACGTGATTCAAATTACTAATCCATAACGACATTAAATTTATGTAAAAATCTCACGGAAAATGCTTAACACGTGCCATTATAAAAAACGAAACCTAACGTTAACGTCAAACTAAACGAAATCCTTTACCACTTATTTTTTTTTTTTTTTTTTCAACTACGTTTAAAATACCTGATTTAATTGTTTTTAAAATTTTAGTTAAAATCAATAATAATTTTTTATTATTACCACTTTTTTGAGTATTCCAGTAAAAAAATGAGAGGAAATGGTAGAATATCTATATTGCAATAAACTTAATTACGAATACAACGAGAGTATATTATGATAGTTATACTAACAACTTACCTGAAATTTTAAATCTCGTGCAACTTCAATTGAAACTGAACAGATAGCTGGTTGTGATGAAGCATCGCTAAGGAGCGTTAAAGAATATCTAATATCAGAATTGAAGATAATGATAAGGTGGATGAAAACGATGTAGATTGGTTGAGGTCAGATTTTGACATGCAGCCTGAAGTAGATTTTTTAGGTTCTTCATCAATTGATAAAAATTGTAGAAATTTGATTATGAAGTTCAAGATAATGTTAATAAACCTATTGGTAATTGTGTTATTATGAATATAATTTGAGCATAAAAATATTGACATATCTTAGAATAATATGTATAGATCTAAACAAGATATATTAGCTATTTTTTTAGATGATGAAATTCAAGGATATTATTTACTAAATGTAATGGGTCAAAAGCGGATTGGTAAGAAAGATTAGCAAAGTTTAAACTTTAATTACATTATTCTTTATGAAAACACGTATAAAACAAAAAAGTTTTACATTTATAACCTAATTCCTTTAACATTTTATTTGAGATCTTTGATGGTCTAATAGCTTTATAATCATAAAGATGTTATTCTATTTGTTAATAAAAGGGAATTCTAATAAAAAATCAAGATATTCTTTGTGCTTTACAGATTTATAGTTATTATAAATTCCAATTCAATAAAAAAATGTCTAAAAAGAAATTTGATACCTTTTTTTTTAAACTAGTAATACTGTAGTTTAAAAATATTATAATCATAAATACAAGATTTAAGTTATTTGAAACCACATATCCATAACTTGTTTAGATTTTGTATATTTACCAGTTGATTTATGATTTGATCAATTATATGTTGTGTCATTTTCTCAATAACTTTTTTGATGTAATTTCATTATAAACCTTCTTATATGATCGTGATTGAATCTTTAATAGGGATATAAAGATATTTTGATAACGTACCTTAAAAAAAAAATATTATTAAATATAATTAGAGTAATATAATATCAAAAAATAATACTTACAGTTGATTGCATTTGTATATTCACATGATGCTTATTTGTCATGTAATATGGCTGTTTAACATTAATTTTATGCAATAATTCATATGTTTCACTTGTAAATCTATTGATAGTCCCGAATTGACAAATTGATGATATTAAATGATATTACTAACTGTATAACTTCAGTAAATTTAAATTAGATGATGAGAACTTTGATATAAGTTTAATAAATAAGTCACACCATATAATTATTGATTTCTATTATTAAAAAATTAGTTATATTATATCTTTATAATTAAATCATTAAATTACTTATTATTAATAAACTTGTCTCAAATTCATGAAGATCTACTTCAGTATATCTGGGTTGATGGCTCCATATATACATATCAATTCACAATGAATATAATTCACATAGATTCTTATGAAGCTTCTTATCTGATATTAAATCATCTAATACAAATAACATAACCTTCATTAAGTCACGATACTTGACTACAGTTAATCATATAAGCCTTTTAAATCTGTTTTTGAAAATCTTTAGATTCAGATAATGGAGAATTTGAGAAAAGCGTTCCTCAAGAGTTCTATTAAACTGTTATTATACTTGAAATTCAACAATTCGACTGTGAATCTTAATTGATAATGAAAAAGCCCGAGATCTATATAATGCATACGATCAGATATACACATAGTATAAACATTAAAATATCTATTAAATATAAAATTATTCATTAGCTTTAAAGGTTCAATCTATCATATTGATCATTTTAACCAGCATTAATAAATCTAATGATTATGAAAATACTTACGGTCGTTTTCACAGAGCATTCCTTATATTATACACTAAAATTTCTTTATCTTTATCATAACGTAAAGCATTTTTAGTATCATTTTTATTATGAATATGAATATCTTCTTTTGCGATATGAACATCATTCATCATATTACATTTCACCAAGCAGAAATGACATAGATGTAAAGAATTTGATGAACCATAAACGCCACACATCATGTATGCTTCAAGCCAATCTGCAATTATAAATGCTAAATATGGATAGAACCACATAAGGTTACCATTAACATACAAATAGATTCCTGTATTACTTAAGATTCTCAATGGTCTCAATATAGTCGCAAGTGCATGGTAAAAGAGTTCGCGTAATATTTTTTGAAATTGTGTTGAATGTTTCTCATATGTATTATTATATTCGAGATTAGGTATATAATCAAGTAAAATTTTAGCATTGTCTTTATTACAATAAGCTAAAGGAATATTTCCATTTGTCATAAATATTAGATGTTACAATATTTTGCCTAAGCTGTCATAAAGAATACCATCGGCATACAATATAATAGGCATTATGTACGTTTCTATTGAAAGATTTTGCTCTACATTTCTTCACTAATTAGAATTATACATATCCATATATTGACATTGATTTGATGTCTTTGGTCACAAATTATAAATCAGATAAGTTAATATAACTTCTAAAATTTCAAGTAAGCTATACTTACAATTTCAATAGATGATTTGTATTTAAATATAAAATTTTCTGTAATACTTTTATTTATTAATAGTTGTTGTACACTGTTAAGCACCGTTTTGTGTTCAAATACATATTCTATTCCTTTGTATTCAAAAATCTTTTCTTTTTGCCAACTGAAATTTGAAAGATTTAGGTTTTCTATAAATGCTCGTCTGGCCTGTGATGTTGACGGTAATGGATAATCATTACGATTTGAGTATTTGTTGAAAAATTTTATAAAGGCATTGGCAAGTGGATCTTGTATATAGAACCGTGTTAACATGTGCATAAATTCTGCATATTCTTCTAATGGAAATTCTTGATACATATCTTTGGAATCAATAGGTATTCTGGTAAGTAGAGCATTATATTCAGCACAATCATCAGCATTAACTTCTGTCATGTCTAACAGATCAGATGCTGCATATTCTTCATCAGATAGATCACTGCCTTGAAGTTTACTTGTACAGCTAGAAGATAGAATATTAATGTCTTATCCTTTAATAAATTCATCTACATCAGAAGCTCTTTTTACATCAAATGCAATATTCTCCTGACTGATGTTTGGATTTTGCTCAAAACATACTCTCTTATAAGTTGTTTCCATTCTTTCAGGCATGGTTTGTCTTTCAAATATATTTTTTTTATTTAGGATTCAGGTTGTTTCAATCGAAAAAATTCTGCGAATTGGTTGATCTGACAAAGGTAAATCATCATCACTATTATTTAAATGTATTTTAATGTGATTATCCAATGCCTGTTAATCCTTGAAAACCTTACTACAAGAAGAACACCTTGGCATCTCAGAGAATAAGCAGCTTATCACAAAATGTATATATTTTTCAGGTTCGTGACTGGTGATGTACAGATAAAGTAAAAGATAAAAATATTAATAAATGTCTTAGCTTTCTTATATATATATATAAACAGTTATATTTGTCTTTAAAGTCAAATTTAAGTTTGTAATGTCCAGAATCAGATTTAGTTTTGATTTCACAATCACATTAAAACACTAAAAAAATATAATTAGAACAGAAAATATAATAAACTTGTTAATTTTTTATAATTTTTTATCAATCGAATAAACTAAATGAAATTTTATTACATTTTTGAATTAAATATTAGAGGTTGAGAAATGTCAATTTTGACGAAAATTTTCTGTTGAAATGTAATAAATGTTTCTCATAAACTTATAAAAGAGAGCATCTAAAGAAATAAGACGAGATGATCTTCCAAGTCTGTTTATATGAAAATAATGATCATCTCCTTTAAATTAAATGTATGTGATTATTTCATGTATTAAAGTTTGAGCTATTAACAAAATTAGAAATTGTTTTAACATCATACTGAAAAAAAAATTCTCCTATTGTACATTTGGAATGTGAAATGTGAAAACGAAGAATTCTGAACTTATTAAACGAAGTGTATTTCAATGAAATTTATTTCAAACAACTTTTCCAATGTTATGCATATTTGTAGTTAAATTAACAATGTTTATTATTTTAATAATTTAACCTTGAGTTTATTATTAAACTACATTATCAATTAAATCAAACTTTTTATTTTACCACGTGCGATTTCACTATTATTATAAAAGATAAATTAGATTAAGCTTTTTATTGTCTTTCTTGTTAAACTCTTTTTCTTTTCTTTTTTAATTATCTGTCCTGTTCAACCTTTTCATTTCTTTATCATATAATAAAAATTTAAATAAAAATATTCAAATAAATACTTATAAATTGACTTATTTTAGATATGGGCTATACTAAAAAATGAGCATTATCTGCCTTAACATACAAAAGTGCTCAACATATTTTACCTTGTATTAAACTTTCAGAAGAACCAATAAATATCTCAAATGTATCGAGTACTCCAAAGACCCTGAATACCCAAATACCTCAAGAATTATAAGAAGTTCTACTATCAATATAGGTTTAGATAAACGGGTTGCTAAAGGTGTGGATATAAAAAACTGTTTGGATCTGTTTGATAATATTAATGCTTTATCTAATCTGGAAGGCTGTCTTCCAAATGATGATGAGATTCTTGTTGACGATTTTACTTCAAAAATGAGATGGCAAATTCTAATTATAAACGAAAAGTTAATGAGATTAATGATATAGAAAATGAAAACATAGATATGTAAAAGAGAAATCGTAAGTTAAGTTCATTGATCATTGCTCCTAATTATAATCACTTTATATAAATTAATAATATTTCTTCTAGGATTTGCTTCAACAATTAGTAATATTTATGATGTGCAGATTCAAATGATTGTGATGATTCAAGATATACAGAAAAAGGTCAACAAAATGTATACAGACTGGAAAGTCATTGGATTTAGTAGTCATACGGAAAATAACATTAAATGGATTGATATAGGTGATGTTGAATTATACTTTACTTATTTCCTATAATTATACTAAGTCATATGTATTCTTTCATAATAGGATGCAATTAGTTAAGCGATTTATACTGTAATTGAAAAAGTTAAATATCCAAATGATGAATACATTATACAAGTATATTATGATGTGTTATCAGATGCAAGAGAAGAAGAATTTCAAAATAAGATAAAATATGATGGATGAAGACGTTTCTTCAATAAATATATTCGTTCATTAGTAAGTAAATATTAATGGTCATTTGTAATAAATTATTTAATCTCACTCATTCTTTTAACAGACCCAAAGATTTTTACACTAAGCGTGAAGCAATATTGTATAACATGTAAAAGATACTACTCATACTGAATTTTCAAATCTTGTAAAGCCAAACATGAAAAATCGGCAAGTTACACGTGATAAAGAGTGAAAGTTCAAAGACGCTACCATCACTCGCGAATGTTATACAAAACTAAACAAACCCATTGATCCTGATGATAATTCACATTATACTTACCTTAACCTGATAATCGACCGTGTTTTTACAAATCCAAAACACAGAAAAAAACTTCAATGCGTTTGGAATGGCTGTTACTCTAAATTATTTAGATCCATCAAAAGAAATTAATATGGTCTTAAGTGAAATTATAGAGTAAATAAATCATTTTCTCAAAAAGATGCAGGTTTCAGATTGTGAGGAGTTATGAGTAAATTGTAAGTATTACCTTTTATCTTTTATAATATATTTATTAATCATTTTATTTAATATTTTATAATAAAATGTAAAAGTTTATATTTAAACGAACAGATAACGCTATCAAAGTTTTTCAAAATGGATCTAAAATAAAATAGACGGAATGGCTTATCTTTTGTAATATATTAATAATCATAGTACACTTGAATTACAATTATTTAATTTGCACAATTTGCTACAAATATTTACAATAAATAAACACATAACAAGCATTTAATATAAGTATTAAAATTATATTATATTCCAATACTAAGAAAATACATAATGTTAGCTAATTGCAATGGAATGTCAACGCTTATCAAATATAAGGTCTGTTAAAATATAGTTAATAGTATTTAAAATAAACGGTTTTAAAGTAATTAACAAATGCTTGATAAATGCTTTAATATATTTTGTGATGTTAATTATCACCATATAATCTATTTATTTTCGCGTATCAGGTATCTTTTTTATACTTTAGCTATCCTTTTAAATCTTTCTTGCTATCTGTATTTTTTACTACCATATAATCTAACTACCATCCACCATTTAACATAACTACCATATAATTTAATATCACGCTTTTTTTCTTGTTTCTGAGTCATTTACATATTAAATTCTATAATGGAGTTGTTGGTCTTTTGTAGCTGTTTAGATATCTGGTTTTATGTTGAGAATGATGACCTTCTGCGTCTAATTGGATGCTAGATTCTATATTGAAGTGTTTACCCTTTGCACCTGTTTGATTGCCTGTTTAAATATCAAATTGTAATAAAAAAATCACGTCAGGTAACACAGTAAATTTGCATTTAATTTTAGCTGACACTATGCCATAATTTCAGCTGATCTTTAGGACACATAATTTGAGGATCTAACTCAACGTTATAATAGTGTCATGGTAGTAACCTGAAACTGTCATAGAACTGGTGAAAAACTGGCAAGGTGCTAGTGTAGTTCTATTAATTTATCAGTTTTAGACTTCTTATATGCCAGCTTAGATGTTGAGTTCTTATGCCTAAAATTCTGACCGAAATTATAGAATAGTACTAGCTAAAATTAACAAAATTTACTGTACCTTACTGCGTTATAATTACGTGTTCAGTTTCTCGCTAGTTCTAGATACTTTTCTATCACTTTTAAGTAACTTTTGAGTAACTTTTGAGAGTCTAGTTTAGTAGTCAGTTAGTTAGAGAATCAAAGGTGTAATTTGCATTATATTAATCAGCCTATATATTTTCCTTCTTGATTGCCAATCTCTTAATTGCTAGATGAGACATGAAGTGCCAAATTTGCAATCTATCTATTTGCTGAATATGTGTTGCAATCCATTCACTCATTTTTTGATTACCGGTGAGACACAAAGTGCTGATATTGTGCCATTCTTGCAATCCTGTTTATAACCATTTTGATTGCTAAGGATAAAACATGAAGTGCTAAATTAGTTCAGGCTATATAGCTTTCATATCTTTTTTCATATATTCTTCTGAATCTTTCTGCTTTTCTGATCTCTTTCCTGCCTATCGGCAGTAGTATCCAAAAGCATAATTTCTTATTTTATTTCTATATATTCTACCTTTAGATACTACCAAATTTATACCCTAGTTTTCGCCTAAGTCTTTCTAGAACTCTTTTTCATATAGTTACTATACTGAGATATTTTGGGGTACTACTACATTGATTATTTTTAGATATTATTATATTGATTACTTTTGGGTACTACCACTGATTCAGTATTTTACTAACAAGTATATTCGCTCAAAATTTTATTTTGAAGATTTGGGAAATTTATATGTTATTTTATACTTAATATTTTCATACATTGTATTATACTACTTGCACAAAAAAATTCAGGCCTCGTCCTAAAATAATAAATGATGCAACTAGGTTCTTTTCTAGTTTAGCTGACCTCAATTATGAGCCTGATTATAATAATCATATATACTTTCAATATTTATCTAATAATAAAAATGATATTTCTCTTCTAGGAGCCTATCATTCTAAAGAGATTTTTGATAAATATATTATTTGAGTATCTGAAAAAGGTTTTATAGTAGTCAATCATCCATCTGAAGTTTATGGAATCTCTGATACTTACAAATATATTGATGGGAATTTGCCTCTTCGCCTGATTCTAGATATTGATACGAGATAAAAGCCAGATCCAATGAACCTGAACTCCCTTTTTTAGATAAATATAAAATTACTTGTGAAGATTTATTATTCAGAATCTTAATTGCCTATATTGATATTTTATATTCTGATTTAAACCATCTTGCAATATTAGATGCTTTTGCCTTAGCCAGTTCATTTAATACTAATAAATGTAATTGGTATATTGTGTATAAATATGTACAGTTTGTTGACTACAGAGACCTTAGAGAATTTATAAAAAAAGTTGCTAATAGAATTAGAAAACCATACTCTGAATTTATTGACCTTGGGCTTTATAAATCATGTTTTAGTCTTCAGCTTCTTGAATCGACAAAGAAAGATAAAGTTAAA